GCTGAACCTTATTGGATATCCAACAAACATCTCACCCACCCATTTGTCCCCAACATATGAGGACGTCATGCGTGGTATCCGTCTAGTGCTGTAGCGGTAATATTCCTACAATAATATCGCTATTGCTGCAGCCCATGTCATTTTTTTGTAACGTTCTCGTAGTGGATCCATCATGAAATTATAAATGCATTAGGATAAAATAATTTAGTAGAAAATGACATAAATGAAATACATCTAGTGAAGAAAGTATCTGGAAAATGACATAACTGAAATACATAACATCAATAAATGAAGTACATAAAATGAAATTTCAAGCATCGGGAAATGAAGTACATCAAATGAAATACAAAACATCAGGAAATGAAGTACATAAAATGAAATACATTTACTGACAGGTTAATACAAAACAATCTCATTCATCTGCTAAAACACGTAAATATTTAATGCGCAGCTCGGGCCGTATGACGATGAACATTTGCCGACGAGTAGGGTCCTCAAGTTTTTTAATACATTTTGCCTGAAAGCGCATATCAGTAGCTAGTTCTGAAATCATGTCTAAAATGACAACGCAGTCCCAGATGGTGCTGTCTGGGGGAGGTGAAGCTGAAAAAACAGTAATTAGTTCATGAAATGAGCTTTTCAGGAAACTATCCATTTCTTTCTTCCTCCTGCCAAGCCTAGGCCTTTTGGACATGGAATTGGACTCTCCCATCTCCTTTTGGTTAATACTAGGTCTTTCAACAGCTATTACCTGTTCAGGTTTGGTATTCCTGAAAATCCCAATTCACTTAGGTTGAATGAATTCTTTCCAGTTGCGACAACCCACTTAAACATTATGTCCAGTTTTTTCTCAAACTCTGGCTCAATTCCGCACTGCCTATATTTTTTGACAGTTGGCATTACCTGAAACATAAGGTATTTATTAGATGTGTTTAGGCATTAACCAAAAAATAATGAAATTAACAAAATAAGTTTGTATTGATTACCTCCAATCTCCTTATAAAAACAAAATCTCCTTATATCAAAGCCTCCTTATATATAAAAACAAAGCCTCCTCATATATCAAAGATGAAAACATCTACGGAAAGACCATTGCCTCATATAAAAACAAAGCCTCCTTATATATACTTAACTCCCCAATGCTATAACCATTGTCATTCTTAACATAAAACGAAAGATAAGAGTATGAGATCCTCTTAATGACGAGGTAGATATAGGTTTGAAACATTACAATTACATGCTAGTATGCTTTCATAGAAGAATAAACAATTTCGTAATGATTTGAGATGCATTTTCATGAACCAAGCCATAATCTTCAATGTATAACCAAATCAACATTGGATTATTTGAAATTTCCGCATAACAAAAATTCCTGCAAATTCCTACAAATTCCTACAAATTCTCCATCACACAAACTGCAACTAAACAATATTACCTTGACCAATACCTCCCATCAAACAAACAGAGCCAAAATCAGAGAAAATGTCAAAAACCAGAGGATGCTGAAAACAAATCATGCCACATAGCTCAATTGGGCTATAGCTAAAATCCCTTAATGGACTATATTTCATACAAAAAAAAAATTCATTTCTTGTATCTACACTTCCCAGAAAAAGGATCAAAGAAAAGGAAGCTTTCCAGGGATCGCAGCCAACAACCCAAATCCAAAAACCAGATAAAATGCCAAAACATTGGGGCATAGAAAATGAAACATATCTCAACTGACCTAAACCCAAAAACCAAAGAAAATGCCAAAAACCAGAGGATGCCGAAAACAACTCATGCCATAGATCTCAACTGGGCTATCGCTAAAAACCCGTAATGTACTCATATTTCACCTGAAATTTTTTTTTTTTCAGTTCTTGCATCTACACTTCCTAGAAAGAAGGTTAGAGTAGGGAAATCGAAAGGAAGCTTTCCAAGGACCGCAGTTAGGGAAATCGAAAGGATGCCTGATGATCAGGAAAGAAAATTGGAAAGGAAGAAGGTTCGATCTCCTCTAGAGCGACGAACCAGAAAGGATTCCAGTGAGGGAGAAGGCGAGGGAGATCAAGGGCACCTCCGAAATTTCTAGGGCAACGCGGATCTCTAACGCCGGACACAGGGCTCACACTGCGTCGAACGACATAAAGGATTTATCGAATGCGGACGCAGTGCAGGAGGAATAAGCCCGTGCGAACGTATTTATCAAACAGGAAGGCAGCGTTTCCAAAACGCCGCTGCTCTCAATAAGCTGCCCCAAACGGGCCCTAAGGCTTTGTTGTTGTTGTTGAATTTTGTTCCACCTGCAACACTCCCAACTCATGGTTAGTAGAATAAAATGTTTAGCAAATCAGTTGATGACATTACACAAGTTTTATAGTCATTTGATAAGTAGAGTGTCAACTAGGCTCATGAGGTTAACGTTTTAGTCATAACTCTATGCACCTTGCTATTATTTTAGGATCCATTGGTTTATTAATGTTCTTATATTGTTGGGGCCTTCCTTAGGATGGTTGTCAATCACAGCTCTAAGTCATTATAAGAGGATTCTTACAAGGTAGTGTGACCCGTAGGGTGATTATGGGGATATGTACATGGTGATAGCTAGGTGTGTTGCTTGACTATCACTTTAGAAGATGCCCTAGCCTATGGCTTTTTTTTAGGATTAAGGAAG